TATATGTGGCCATGAACTGTCTTCTATGTGATGGGAATAATTATATGTGGCCATGAACTGTCTCCTATGTGATGGGAATATTTATATGTGGCCATGAACTGTCTTCTATTTGATGGGAATATTTATATGTGGTCATGAACTGTCTTCTATGTGATGGGAATAACTATATGTGGCCATGAACTGTCTTCTATGTGATGGGAATACTTATATGTGGTCATGAACTGTCTTCTATGTGATGGGCATAACTATATGTGGCCATGAACCGTCTTCTATTTGATGGGAATAACTATATGTGGCCATGAACTGTCTCCTATGTGATGGGAATAATTATATGTGGCCTTAAATTAACTGTCTCCTATGTGATGTGGAGTTTGATGGAATAAATGGCCTTCGCTGACTCTAGGAGATAGGAGTGTAATGTGTTAAAAGCCTCCGACAATGTACTTCTTTTAATTTAATAAAGAGGAATAAGTCCATGGATAATTGTCGTAATATTATATAAACAGGAGTTGGAATGATGGTTTGTTGTGAATCTGGTGACTGGAGTCATACGACTGTTAAGGCTGATGGGCCTGCTATTTTATACACTTAAGGTGTTATATTATGATACAGTATCATATTTTCATATTCAGAAATCCAGCTGTGAAAGAAGAATCAGAGTGCGTGTCCGCCATGAGGAAAAGTGTGCTGATATGAAACTTCCAGGTTAGACCTTCTTAATTGGCCTGTTATTTTACAGAGTGACTGGATTATAAGAGCGTAGCTCTTGGACGCCAAACATCAACAATACTTTTCCAGTTAACCAACCCAAGTGCAACGCCCTTTTTCAGCAACGTATTACTTTTCCATACGATTTCTAACTAGTTACAGACAGAAACTGTTCAATTTTATTTGGCATCATTACCTGCCAAACCTGACAGTTACAAAAAATAGAACGTGAATTGAGACTACATATCGATATAACGACAATCTCAGTTACATCAAAGTATTACAATGTTTTCTTTTTTTCAATTTTCTTTTTGCAACTAAATACATCTCTATACATTTTCTTAGACTTATCGTCAAATATGTAAAATGCACTTTTTTCTATAACAATTACCAAACAGTTTTTCCCTAGCTTATCCTAATCATTCTTTTTGTACCCTGACGGAAGCGCGCAGAGGATTTAATTCTTAATATGGGAGGAAGCTGGAGTATCCGGAGAAAACCCGCGTGGTCGGGCAGGTAACCGGGATAGAATCCGGCCATCTTCTACTTTAGCTTTGACTGGAATCAATGATACAAAAAATCTACATACGGCCACCCCTGATATTTTTATTTTTGAGCTAATATGATTATGATCTTAGCAGTTTAGTTGGCTGGGCATTCTATGAAAAAAAAGTTGAGGAAAACTCTAATGTAAAATTACTTAACAAGCTTAAGAGAAAATCTCTTTTGAAAGGGTAGAAAGAAAATCATGATCTCGCTTCTTGTAATGCGAACTTTTTGAAACGGAATTGCTACTTTTTTACGGTCAAACGTGTTACAAGGACATACCAATACGAGGCTCGATACCGATAAAGGGGTCCCATGAACTGTTGCAAAACGCACCAACCAATGAAGAAAGTGAATAGGTGGGGAGGATGTGTGAGGGAGCTATGGCCTCAACTATAGGGGATTTCGCCATCAAGGAGAATTTTGATTTTTTGATGAAATATCATGTATTCCCGTGTATCTCAAAAAATTATATGTGATAAAATGATGCACTTTTGAATCCATATTGGGGCACAAATGCACAGCATCTATACGATGTCTGGCAATCATGCAGTCCATTTAATGATCACATGTTAAATATGTATTGCAGATAATAAAATCTTCAGTTTTAATCCAGCTGTTTTTAGCTCACCTGGCCCGACAGGCCACGTGAGCTTACGGCATGGTGTCCGTCCGTCGTCCGCCGGCGTCAACTTTTTACTTTAAACAACTTCTCTTCATTAACCAAAAGGCCTAGGGTGATGATATTTGGCCAGAAGCATGCTGGGATGAAGGGCTACCAAGTTTGTTCAAATAAATGACCTTCGTCAATTTTCAAGGTCAGAGGGGTCAAATATGTTAAAACTTTTAAGCAACTTTTTTTGAATAACCAAGAGGCCTAGGGTGCTGATATTTAGCCAGTAACACAATGAAATGTAGGGCTACCAAAAACACCCCAAAACCCAGATAAGACCACAAAAAACCACAGATGACACTGAAATAATATTCAGTTAATATTAGAATGTAGTTAACTAATTTTCTGCAAACGCAAAATAGATTGAAATAATCAGAACCTTAAAAAAACAAGTATGGATATAACACATCAAACAGTATCCTCTTTAGAGTAAATGTACTGATCTAATACAAAATAAACATAGCCTACCCATTTTATATAACAAATATCGATCTTCTGTGAATAGGCAAACGGTAAACTTGTTTGCAGGGGAAGTAACTCAAATATGTATCGTTAATATTACTCGCCTCACTATAACTTTCCAACTAACGGGAAACATAATTATGTTACATAATATCAGGTAGCATAGATATAAATATCTATGTATATTTTAATGTTTTTGTGTGTTTTTTTGTTTGTTTTTTGGGTCTTTTAGGGTACTTTGGGGTGAATTTGGGTAAATTGTGCTGCCGGTTGATCACCTCGGGCGATTTACAGTTAGCCCGACCTGTTGTTCAATTATCCTCGTGTCAAACACGGAAAACTTACCTGAGTTTTTACCTTATAAAATCCATTCACGGCAGAAAAAAATATTGTTATAAGCGGGGTCCAACCTTTGGCCATATCATACTAAACAAATTGTTTTGCTTAGTTATAGGATAAAATCTGTACATAGGAAAAGAATTATAATAAGCGACATCATAATAAGTAGGTTCCATTCTAGTACAAAAAACTCCTTTAATATAGCAAAGATATATGTTCACAACATCAACCAGTACACAGAAACGTTATTTATTTGTAAATGTGTAACAAGTTTGTAACAAACATGTCTTTCAATCCCTGTCTTAAACACACCGTATCATGTTTCATTAGTACTGATAAAATATCTCGTGATGTACATGTTTGACAGATAAAATATCGCACTCCATCTTTTGCCGTACACTTTCTGTAAACAATTCATGGATATTATCAAATATTATGTGTATTACTAAAGACTTATATTAATGAACTTGTAAGTCACTCATTTCCAAGCTTTCGGGCTTAGCCCTTCGTCAGGGATTAAATGTCACCGGACCTCTATGTCACATCCATCTTGACAAACATGTTGAATAGCAATGACGTTGATGTTGATGACGTTATAACACTGTTACCATGACATCAACACCACACAATGACGTCATCAAATCATGACCTCACAAATTGTGACGTCATCATTTGGTATTGATACCATTGGGGAAAGCAGTGTTGAGTTTGTTAATCCAAAATCCCTCAATCACAAGCCTTGCTACTTTGGATTCCTCCTTAACCCTTTCCAGTACGCACACCCGCAAGTCCGATATAGAATGACCTCTTCCAAGAAAGTGATGTGCCACCGGTTTATCTCAATTCAGGCGGATATCCGCCACATGTTCCTTTATCATTTCCTTAAGTGTACGCTCCGCCTCTCCCACATATACAGATATGTCACATTTCAAACATGATAAACAATATATAACATTACGGGTTTGGCAGGACTGCCCATCTAGTGCCCTATATGTAGACTGGTAAGATGTATCAGTAGTTGTTTCTATGAGTCTATCACACACATCACAGTCGGACGTACACTTATCCTTTGTTATCCGGAAACAGCGCTTCAACTTTCCATGCACCAATATGTCTGCTATGTTTTTGTCTCTCCTGTAGCTGATAATTGGTAAGTCCTTGAAGACAGATTTCATTCTTTCTGACTTGTGCAGTAATCTCATGTGTCTCCGTAGAATTTCATTGATGTCTGGCAGCTGCTTAGAATATGTGACTATAGTGGTACCCTCTGTATCTTACCCTTATTACAGTGTGCCGGTATCGAAGGAGATCCTCTCTATTCATCTTCTCCACCTTTTGAAGTTGGCTCTCAATAACCTTTCCCGGTTATCCACTTTTCCTTAACACCGACTTAAGATTTTTTTTTCTGTTTTTAATGAAGTCGTCTTCTTGTTGACAGATTTAATCGAATACCCAACCCATATGGTATCGATCTCGTCATCCGTGGTGGATGGGCAGACCTATAGAGAAGATACAGTTGTTTGTCGGTCGGTTTCCTGTACATATCTGTCACAAGCATCCCGTCCTCCACTCTTACACTGGTGTCCAGGAACTCTATCTCTCGCTCACTGTATCGCAGGTCGTTCTTGATGCTCCTGTGGATGTTGTTTGCAAAATTAGCGAACTCTTCCAGCTTGTCAACACCATGCGTCCATATACCGATACCGTTATCTATGAACCGCTTGTAAAATAGTGGTAGGAGGTCCGACTGATTAAGTTCCTCATCCCATTTCCGCATGTAGGAACATGCAAAATTCTTTCCAAGTTTGGACCCAATCGCAACCCCGTCCGTCTGTATGAACTGTTTGTCTCAGAACTGTTATTATTCTCTAGTACTGTTTTTATCATATCAAGCCCTGTATCTGTAGAAAATGTTTTATCTGACCGGCTGTCAAGTCCTTCTTTGCAGGCCAATAACCCTTCCATCTTTGGGACCGAAGGATATAGCTTTCGAACATCAAAGCAAAAGAGCAGAGAGCCTGGTGGTAATGGCTGTTGAACTTCTTTCAATTTGTTTAGAAATTCAGTGGTGTCTTTGAGATAACTCGGCGTTGAAGTCACATACTCTGTAAGCTCAAACTCCGCTACCTCTGCAAGCCTCTCAGTTGGTGACCCAATACCACTAACAATGGTTCTGAAAGGATGCTCCTTTTTGTGCAGTTTAGGGTTACCCTGAAGGACTCCAGCTCGTGGGTATCGAGGTATCAGGTATTTCTTCATTTCCGCTGTAATGGATCCATCTTTGTGCATCCAATATTACATTACATTACACTATATATGTCTCTGCTAGTACTTCTTTTAATTTTTACTTGTGTTACAAAAGCGGCACAAAATCATATAAAATCTGACTGATTTGGTTAGTCTAATATTACATCTGCTAAGTTCGACCCTACAAATAGACAGACTTCATGCAAATCCGGGTGATCAGGTTAGTCCAATGTTCTACTAAGAGAGAGATAAGGTTTTGCAGACTTTGGCCACAACCCGCCAGCTCGGCTGCATGCTGTTTGACGAGTAGCTAAAGTTATTAAAGCATGGTTAGCTTTACAGTTCTTCTGTGTTAATGTATTGGTCCTGTCGATTTATTCTGTGACTATACTGAAATGGACATAACCCTTTGGAGAGAGGTTCTTAATTCTGCTGGAAAGACTAGTCATATTTAAGTGGTCAGTGGTATAATTTCAGGCTTATTTACAGTGGTAATTGTTGTGATATAAAGCAAAACGTTTGTGACCCAAACATTGTGAAGGGAACTGTGTACTGTAGTAGGTAGGACCACTACAGTAAGTAGGTCAGAAAAAAACATCCGCTTCCGGGAAGAGTGCGGGAAGCACAATTTCAGGAAGCAGAACATCGTTTACTATCAGAATATGTTTAGCTCACCTGGTCCGAAGAACCATGGTAAGCTTATGCCATACCGCATTGTCAGTCGTCGTCC